TCCGGTACCGGGAACGGAACTCACGACCTTGCGCTTGCCAGGCAGGCGCTTTTGCCGCTGAGCTAAATCCCCAGCCCCCAAACCCTACTCTCAATAACCAGAATGATTTTTTTTTAAATCATGCTTCTCTTTTTTTCCTTGTATTCCTTATTGTTATTTATTTATTGTGTTGGTTACTTTTTTCTTGTTGCTGAGACAAAACACCCAATGCCCAAAATTAAGGAAACAAAGTTTAATTCAGCCCCCAGTTTGTGGTTTTAGTCCATAATCAGTTGGCTCCAAGGCAGGGTGTCACAGCACAGGGACAACACTTCAAGGGGGCAGAAGACAGCAAAAACAGTAGGAGCAAGAAGAGGGAAAGCAAGCCTCCCCCCCCCCTTGTATTGTATGCAGGCTATGCTTGTAAGTGCTTTTTGTCTAGAAGAAACAGTGTGATATGGGTGTAGACATGCAATTCCAGGGTTAAAAAACCCTCTTTAATTGATCTCATCTGGAGAACTTTAATTGATCTCACCTAACCTCAGAGGCAATTGGGGTGCATATGGGGAGTTCAGTCAAGCTTATGGGAAAGGAGACACACATGGTGTCTCTCCTGCTCCCGGTCTTGTGCCAGGGGACCCTGCCATTCCAGTAACTTCTCATTAGCTCCTGTGTGATTGACTCTCCTCTCATAACTTAACTGCTCTGATTTCCCACAGTATTCAAAAGCAGAAAGGCATCCTGTGACTGCATTGGAGAAAATGATGGAGTCAAGTTTTGGTGGTCCCCAGCCATTCCCTGAGGTCCCTTCTCCTGACAGAGGAAGCCAGTCTGTGAAACACCACAGGTACAGGTGGTCCATTGTGGTGGGAGTGGGCGCACTCACACTGGGCATACACTGCACGCACGTGCCAAAAGATGGCCAAGGCACTCATTGGAGGTGAGCATTCTTGCACTTCCTGTGGTACTCCAAGGAGATGTTTGAGCAGCTCATAGCAGGTAGACCAAATTACAAAGACATTAGCCTGTCCTGCAGACTGCAGTGTCTTTCCCTACAAGAGCCTGAAAAACTGGGAAGACCGCCCTTCAGAACTACATGCACAGAGAGTGAATGAAACAATGCATTCTGAAGAAAGTATTAAGAACAAGGTTTTCCTAAACTTCCTTATCACTGTCTGCAAAGTCAGTCTCTAATCTCCCCTGTGGAGCTGATATGAGACCTTACAAATCTTCTAACATAGTCCTCTAAAAAGAAAATATTTCAGGGGAAATGCTGATGAACTTTCTCTGTGATCTTCTGTAGACAATGAGGTTGCCCTCTTTCAAGCTGAGCACAGAAACTGGTTCTTGAGGAGAGGAGACCAAACATTGTGCTGTCTCATACATACATGACATTCTGCATCTGAACATGTTCTTCAGCATCTTCTGCATTTTTTTATGTGTTCTGTGTGTGAGGAATCTTATACGAGGCTAAGTGAGAAGGTTTGGAACCAAGTGCTAGAAGAGACAATGTATTTGTCCAAAATGTACATCCGTGGTCTCTGTGCAAGTCGTACCAGGACTGAGACTTCCTTTTCTTACTAAAATGTATATTTTCAAAAGTCAAAAATATAATTTAAAAATTTAATTATGGAAGTGAAAGCCAGATGCTGTTGACTTTTGGTTTGCATGTATCTCAGGAGCTTTGCACACCCCTTGTCAAAGGCGTGCCAGATGAAAAGGAGCCTCTTTTCCTCTTCACCTCTGCGTGGGTCTCATGAATGGATTTCCCCATTTCTGGGCACAGTTACTTTCACATCCCAGTCACTTCCCTAATCCACTTGGTGGTGATATTCATTCTTTTTAATGAGTAAATTATGTATCACTGAGATACCGAGGATTTGCCAATTTTAAAAAATGGATTGAAATATGTTTGAGTCTTGGATAATTGCTTTATCTATTCACTGGAAGTTTTGATTTATATCATTTGTCACATTTACAGAATATTTCCTCATGAAAAGAGCATTTCACTTCACTAGACCTAATGGAATTTGTCTTAATTAGAGACATGTCTAAAATTGCCAGCCTTTTACAAGAGGGATATTTTTTCTAAAACAGTACTCTCCCGCAGCTGAATATAACATACTGTTCTCCCAGTCCAGTGAAAGAGTTTACTATATTACTCTAGGACTATATTATACATAAGTACTGTGAAGTTGGGATTTTAAAAACTTATAGTTTGGAGGTGCGTTGTCGCTACTCCCAGTTCCTGTCTGTTTATATGTTTTCTCCTAAATTTAGCTTTTACCCAAGTCTCTAAGGATCACTCACAGATTAAGTAAGGATATCTCAGGAGAACTTCTTTCTTCTGCTTTGCTGAGTGACATTGTAGTATCTACTGGGGTGCATCGTGCCCTAGTAGTCAGGTGAGGGCTAACTTGTGTAATGATTTTAGAACTTTGTGAATTATAGTTAAATATGGTGTAGCTTTTGTTTTATAAAACACACAATAGACTTAAAACATTTTCACAATTGATAACCCAGTCACTGATTTATATCCTGCAGACTGTTCCATAACTTCCTAAATGCCACTGGGTTTCACGGCCTGAAAGGTTGATTGATTGCTAGGTGCAGAACTCTTCTAAGACAGGTCCCCACTTCACATTAGCAGGCTTTGTAGTTGTGACAGGGTAGCAAAATATGAATAATTAATTTCACTTTTGTGTACTGACAGTAACTCATTTGGATATAAAACAAAGCTATTAATGCAAAACCATTATTTTCATGTTTAGTCCAAAAGAAAAAGAAAAAGAATACCACGGCCTTTTAGAGAAATCTGTGACAGCATGCCACATTTGTTGGACCATAGTTCAGCAATCTATGTTGCTCATAAAAAGCATGCTTATGCATCTCCTACAGTGACACGAGTTCAAGGTTCTCAATGTCAGGGTGACCCTTATGGTCACAGGTCATGGCAGAAGAACAGGGAAGAGAATGCTGCTGTCCCACACTGCTATTGGCAGGTCCTGTTCCCCCCTCGCATGACCTCCGTAGTAAGCCACGGGAAACACTCACAGGGCATGCTGTTGCCCCTCTCTGCTGCTCTCCTTCACCCTGAACCCAGTATTTACCTGTCTACCTCTCCCTGTGCACCAGGAGGGCTGCGGGCTCCCTTGGCTTTTGTGGGTTTGGTGTGGGGTTCAGGTAAGAGATAAGTGGGAGGAAAATGAGCTCGTGGCCCTTCTGCCCTTGTCCTCCCTACTTGGTGACTAAACTGTGCCTCTGGGGCCACAGAGCCAGGCTGGTGGCCTTGGCCTTGCAGCTGTCTCTGTTCTGGTACCCGCTCCCACGCCTTTCTCTGTAGCCGAAGAACAGTCACAGCTTCCCACTGCTACTAGATCTGAGACACAGTAGTATCTCTTATAATTTTATTTTTTCTCTCAAACAGTGAACTTACCTCTAAAATGGTAAGATCTCCTCAAATTTACAGTGTTATTTATTTCCCTCAAAGACTGTGGCACAAGTACTGCCCCCAACTCATGCTTCTTAGTAAATATATAGAGATTTCCTCCCACAGTTAACTGTAGCATTCAGACCTTCATACCTTACACATTCCATAATTGCCACAGGATGGTAGATAGGAGTAGGAGGGGAAGGAAACAACTGAGCTCTAATGAACCTTAAACTTATTGGCTCAGAGACAAAACTAGATGCACCTGACTGCTAGGCATCCTGGGGCTCAAGAGACAGGAAGTATGATCTGGAGTGAAGGATGATGATGGTGCCAATATATGATCTGGTATCAGCACAAATTCAAAAAGTTAGTATTGGCTTGTGGAATATAAAGTATGATCAGTCATTTTGCCAAAACCAGAATGATTGCTTCTAGCACTCAAATGTCAAGGTCTCAGACTCTAACTTTAGATAATATTTGCAAAGCTTTGTTTTATATTTAAGAAGAAATAATAGTAATATGAATGAGGGCGGAGTGACAGAACCCAAGTCATACAGTGATAGGGATACAGTTCCTTTGGGAGACAGTCGCCTGTAGAACTTGATAGGCTGGCTCACATTTTTAGAGTCTTTTATCTGTAGAATTGTATGGATATTTCCTGAATAAATGTGGATGCCCCATAAAGTTCTTAGTTCATGTACCTGTGCATGGCAGTTAGTTGGCCACAGACTCGCACATCTTGTTAATGTCTACATCTCAGCCAAGATATCCTCACAGTGGCATGGAGGTGGGCTTGGGTCTGGACCAGGTGATGAGTCACATTAGCCATTGCTTTTCATAGCATATAGTTATTTGGTTTTCTATAACCTGCACATAGGGGTCTGTTTTTGTTGAGGCCTATGACATATATCTCTCTCTTGCCCTTTGACGGCATCTACAAACACATGAATACTGGGGTATTTTGGAGGTATCTTCCCAGTGAAATTTTAATCAGATATTTGTTAAAAGCAGACTCAAAAGTAAAAGTTTGAAACTGATGAAAATCTAGTTTAGTGAACTGAGAATTTAGCACATATGTTAAGGAAAGAATGCCAATTAAAGTGTGGTTTATTTATTCTACCACTTAGAAGTGAAAATTTCTCCATAAATTCCTTCTGGGTTTCCTGTGTTTTGTTCATGTCGGTCTCTAATAAGGCCATTTTTATTCCAATTAGAAACACAGCTACTATGGCTTGAATACTGAGGGTAGCGGGGAATTGGGATCTTGAGGATTCCTTACAGCTCATCTCTTGTTTCTGTTTGGAAAGATGCAGTTATTTTAATTAGTAGTGCTCTGAACTAGAAGGCTAGACACAAAGGAACCTTTCTTTATCTCAGCGAAATAAACTGGGCACCACCTGATCTCATCCAAGCACACAGTCCTATTCATGGATGGCCTCTGTCCTGGGTTGCAGTGGATTTGGGAAGCAATGCTATGTGTGAGAGGTCTGAAGACCACTGCTGTGATCTCTCTGGATGGTTGGTTTTGTTTCTTTTGTTTTTCTCAACCCAGCAGGAGTCTCTCCTCTTGCTGTAGCCCAGGGCAAAGAAGTGGAATGCTCCATAGGAGTACCTTCAGAAGGACACCCCCCTCACCCCGAAGCAGACTGGGTGGAATCGTGGGACCAGCATATCAACAACTTGAAGAATCAAGGATCCCAGACCAGGATACGATACCCCGCCAAGGGTAGGTCTTAAAAGCAATGGCATTTAGGGCTGTTATGAGTGCTAGTGCTTTCGGTTGAGTTATACGTTCCTTGGAGTTTTAGTCACTGATTTCTTCATTAGTTGGCTGTTTATGCTACTTCCACCTTTATTCTAAACAAAGGTGAACTGAAAAGAATGGCTATTAGGGAAATGTTGGATGGAAAAGAAATTAAGTTTAGAGATCTAGGATATGCTACTACATTGTTGCTAAAGCAACCAAAAATTGGTGTTTGATAAAAATAATAGATGTTTGTTAGGAAGATTAAGTAATATAGAAGAATATTACTTAGTTTTCTGATTGTTATTGTGGAAAATACACTAAACTAGGACCTTGAATATGGAATTTAGGTCAGGATGAAGAGCACAAAGGCACAACACACCATATAGATCTCATCACTTCCAACTATGCACAGTGCAGGGGTACAAATGTGGGCTTTGGACATCAAGGCTGCCACTCCTTCCAGAACAAAGGTGGTTCTGTCTCCCTCAGGCCTTGGCAAGTGAAGTGCAACATGGACTGTAGCTACTGTTTATGCAGCTGGCATAGATCAACCACACCAAAGTGGCACCCTATGCAAATTATATATCCTGAACGTATTCATAGGCCATAGGGTAAGAAGAGACTCACGAAAGTCAGACTCACACCTTAAGAGTATTTGAGATCCAGAATATACGAAGTTCTGAACCACACCTAGCTACCAACTTGAATTCAGGTGTTCTTTTAGAAATGTTGTAATGAATACACTAAAGATAGCAGCATTTAAATGGCTTTGAATTTAAGCTCCATAAGATTGTTGGCTAGAGTTTCAAAAATATGGGTTCAAGAACTCATGCCAGTACCCAGTGGTATTGATGTTTATGTCACAGTAATAGTCATAATGTGATCGATCATTAGTTTTAAGAAGAATGGAATCCAGGTTTACTCCAGCTCTTGTCATAGCACCCTTTTGTCCTTCTTGAATAATCCAGGTTAGGTTTCTGTGCTGCCTGGGCCTAGGTTCTGTTTTATTTTTTCCAGATAGTCTCCATCTAGCTAAAGAGCAAAGCAGGTGGGCAGTCTAGCACATAGCCTTACCTCTCTCCTTTGTTCTGCACATGGGATGGATGGAGAAGAGGCCGATCTGACAAACCTTGTCATTGATTTCTTTAAGACTAGAGAATAGGGCATAAATAGCCTGTGGCTGGGTTTTGTAATTTTGAAGCAATTCCAAATGTACTATGAAATGCATTTTGTACAGATTTAGGGTGACAGTTGCAAATGTACCCTAACAACCAAGTTGTCCAAAATGTCGAACACAAGAAGTAGTTTGCCTTTCTCTTGGCCTTAGCACTAAAAAAAGAGGGTTGTATCCAGCCTATAAATAGAATTGAAGATGCTTCATAGCTTTCTCTATGTATCACTAATGATCCCTCTTAGGCACACATGTGTGTGTATATACATTTTCTCTGAGGATGATTGTTATTGTGAGAACAAATAAGGAAAATCACGTTCAGAGTTTTTGAGTGGTATACAATCCTGCTCCTGATATAATTCCTTATTTGGAGCTCTAGATGGCTATAATCCTTGGGTTCCAGGAGTCAGGATACTCCAGACCTGTGCCAGATTCAGCCTTGAGCTCCACTTTCTCTTCTCTTCCAGAACTCAGCTGTTCCTATTGCATGTTCAGGCTCTGTGTTGTCCTTTCCCTCCTGGCAGACTCTACTTAGCATCTGCATGGTGTTGATTTGAGCTGGCCACATGTGTTGTCCTGTACGTGATATTCATGCAATGTTGATAAATGATGACTCCGAGTGTAAGCCACTCTGCGCTCAGCACAATGAATCTCAGGGAGCAATCTCATTCTCAGTTCTTAAAAACAGCTATTTTCTACTCCCAGGGGACTGGCTGTCTCTCTGGACTGGAAATGGGATTGGTAATAGAATTTCACAGCTAAAGGCACTCTTCAAATTTGGCCTTAGCCTGGAGCGGGTAGGAATGGATTCACAAGAGCCATCTGCCATCTGCTACTTGCTTACCAGTCATGTGGTCCCTGTCTGCTAGTTAGGCTCCCAGTATATGTGACTTCTCTCCTTGCCAAGAACTTCAGCCCAGGTTGAACCCAACAACTATCTTAAGGTAGCCTGGCAGAAGAGTGAGACAGAGAGGAAATTCCTAAGGAAACGTCTCCCTGATATGAGCCTGGTTGGTAATAACCATGGTAATGGCTCCTACACATTTGAGCTGGGTTGTGTCAGGCAAATCAAACTGGTATGTTCATAAACTAGACAGAAAGGAAATCAGCAAATGTACATTCACATCTTAAACATAGGAGCATGTAAAATATTCTGAGTGTCTAACCATGCCTAGCTACCCACTTAGGTTCAGTGGTTCCTTAGAAATATACTAGCTCAGTACAATAAGGATAGCACAGTTTGAATGGCTAGCCCAACATGGCATCTGTCATCTCATGTGAAAGAGCTCAGATTAAACACTTCCCTTTGGGACTAAATGAATCACTAAACCAAGAAAGCATGGCTATGATATGTCGGTGGTATGGCTACAGGCAGAACAGTAGACTCCTGCAGTTTAGTCATGTCATTCTAGGGCCATATGCCCCAGAAACTGTGTCTTAAAGTCATCTAGAGAAAAACAAAGTCCTTGGATTGACCCTTGACCCTTGGATCACTGAGAAGCAAATCAAGCAATTAATCGTTGAAATCTTTCTTCTTTAGCAGGATGCTTTGACACACATAGTTACAGAAAAAAAATACAACTATAATTTATTTGTTGAAAGAGAGGAAGGGCCGGTTAAAATGGCAGCACAGTCACTGAGTGACAGCTCTGAGTCACATCTGTGGTAGAGTTATTGACCTCAAGGGATACAGAACTCTGAATATGTACCAACTCAGGATCACATGTAGTCATGCAGTTCCCTCTGAGAATTCTGCTGGTCCCAGTGCTGGAACCCTACAGGGTGAAGGAGGAAGAGAGGACTACCGCTGTGCCTCCAGGGAAAAAGTGCAGAGATGTTATCGCAATCAGACCTCTGAGCACACCCTTCCCAGTGTACACTGGACTGCAGAGTGGTGCTGGGCGTTGAATCCAGAAACTTGTGTATACTAACTAAGCACATGGTTTATCACTGAGCTACATCCACCCTCAGCTCTCACACCACTGTTCTAATGAGTGGGAAAATTAGAGAGTGACATTTGTCTGCGATCCAGAGCATGTAATGGCATGGGGGTTTGAAATCATACCTAACTCAAAACTAAATCATGTCTTGGAGGGTTCTTCATGTTAAAATACCATTTACGATTTCAGTTATTGCTAGTCATGTATCCAGTAGCTGAGTTGAGAAGTGAAATCATAGATAATCAGAGGAAGTCAATTCACTAAGCCCTAATCAAAACACTCAGGCATATTAGGAAAATGCTCTGCCTTTGCTGGTTATTTTTTTGGGGGGGGTTGGTTATTTTCCTGTACCGGGAATTGAACTCATGACCTTGTGCTTGCCAGGCAGGCACTGTGCTGCTGAGCTAAATACCCAGCCCCTGCCTTTGCTGTTTAGTCATGCCACATTATTTACATGCTGAAGCCACAATTTTAAAACATTATGTAAGACATTTATCCAACAGATTTATAAATAATATTTATATCCCCATAAACAATTTTCACCTGTCACCATCCTATTTGAATGTATTAAATTCTACCTGTTGATGATACCCTGGTGATACTGATGTGGAGTCCAATGTTATTTTAGTTCTCTTTCTTTGTTTTGTTCCATCAGTGAATCTAGTATACAGATTTTCTATTTTTTTCTTGTCTTTTTGAGAACCTGAACTTGTCACCTTTTTGTCTCAATGAATTTGATGAATCAGAAACTTTAGACTCATGTTTCTAAGAAGGAAGGAGTAAGGTTCCCTGGGAAGTCCAATATACCTGGCTGTATAGTTTGCTTGGGTAAAGATTATGCCACCCTCCAGAGCTGTTCTAATTTACCCTAGCATATCCATCCATTAGAATGTTTCATTTTAATAGTAACAATTAGATGAAGGCAACTTGGGTTTAATTCTTTCTTCTGCCTCTTACCAAACATATAATTTGGGGCAAGTCAGTTGAGTGTCCTTTAGGGTAGCTTACTTGTCCATTGCATGGTAAGAGCAATACTCCCTTTTTTTAATTAGTCACATAATTGGAGGTAAAAGTGTTTTGTCAAAGCACCCTGCAAGTGTTAGCTGTGTTATTTGGTTTGAATATGGATATTAATTGGGCTGTAAAAATAGCTTTTACTGTAAAGATGTTTGTTAGACTATGGCTTATCAATTGCCAACTCTATTCTAGGCACATTAAAAAGAGATAGGACTACAAAAACCTAGATCTCTTCCTTATCTTTACTTTCATTCTAGTGGAAAAACAGACCTTGAAACTGTCCCCATGATGAACATACAATAAAGACCTCTATTTAGTATGCAACACACTTCATTACAACTACTATTTAAACGTGATTTTTACTTATGTTACAGTGTAAGCCCAGGAAAGGAAATTTATGATATGGAGATCAAATATCACTACATTTAGATGTTAGTGCTTCAAGTTTAAAGACAAATGCTTAAGAAATGGAATAAAAGTATTGTTCTTGTCCCCAAATCACACTCCTATAAATTCATAGTATACCTGTCCCATTTTCTCAGACTGAAAAGGTCAAAGGAAGAAAAATCATCAGCCCCAAACAGTCAAGAAGGAGCCTAGCTAGGCTGTGGCACATTCAGATTACTTGGACTGGCAACTCGGCCTTCCTAACAAGCCATTGTCATGCACCAAGGGACCAACTCACTAGGCTCAAGAACCCTGTCAGGAAAGTAGCTGGCTTGGTAGTTCCCCCTGAGCCACTTCATATTCATCCCAGGAAAGCAGGGGAATTGTGTCCCTCCTGTTCCCATCCTCAGAATTGACAGCTGGTCGGTGAGGTGGTTCCTGCAGGTGCCAATGGCAATTGGTTTTACATCCCCTAAAACTATTGCTAAGTGGAAGAACTTAGGACCACATCACTTATTGTTTAAAACTGGGCTTCCCAGTCACCTCCAAATAGAGTGTCCATACATGCTGCTGGAGGACCCAGGGCTGAGAGGGTGGTTGAGTTAATGGAGTGGAAGTGGGTTTCCTGTGTGTCACTGTGGGAAGGCCACACTTATCTGCTCAATCCCCATTTACTTTGTATTCTAGGATAGAGGTCAGGAAGACTATATCCCACCTGCCTATACAGCTGTGGTGTGTTGAAAGACCCCTGGACTTAAAGTAAGAAGATCTGGGTTTGAGTCTCAGTCTGTCACTTATTTTCTGTGTGACCTTGGGCAAGTCACTTCACCGATCTGAGCTTCAGTTGGCTTCTCTGTTTAACTGGGAGCATATTATCCGTCTCATGGGGTTGCTGTGAGAATTCAGTGAGATGGTGCATGTGGAAAGTTCATTGTGGTTGACTATTACTCCACAGAGGTGAGGTGGAGGCCGGGATGCATGATACTTTGTTTCTTTTCTAGGTATTCATCCAATGATTTAAAGACCCAACAAAATTCGTCAATAAATATGCAACTGCCTTCACGAGAAACAAAGCCCTATTTTAATAACTTGGATCAAAAGGACCTGGTGGGATACTCATCCGCAAGGGCCAGTTCTGTGCCCATCATCCCCTCGGTGGGTCTAGAAGAAACCTGCATGCAAATGCCAGGGATTTCTGAGGTCAAAAGCATCAAATGGTGCAAAAACTCCTACTCTGCTGACATTGTCAACGTGAGTATTCCTGTCAGCGACTGTTTTATAGCAGAACAGCAGGAAGTGAAAATATTGCTAGAAACTGTCCAGGAGCAGATCCGGATTCTGACTGATGCCAGGCGGTCGGAAGACTACGAGCTGGCCAGCGTAGAAACTGAGGACAGCGCGAGCGAAAACACAGCCTTTCTCCCCCTGAGTCCCACGGCCAAATCGGAACGAGAGGCACAATTTGTCTTAAGGAATGAAATACAAAGAGACTCGGCATTGACCAAGTGACTGGAGACGTAGGGATCTGTGCAGTCGATGCTTTGCTCAACAGGAAAGAGAGGAAATTAAATACAAATTATTTATATGCATTAATTTAAGAGCATCTACTTAGAGGAAACCAAATAGTCTATCGCCCTCATATCATAGTGTTTTTTAACAAAATATTTTTTTAAAGGGAAAGAAATGTTTCAGGAGGGATAAAGCTTACCATGGAAGCTTTTGGGTAGAATTCTGAATCCAATTTTAGTTAGTCCTAACATTGTCCTCTTTGGGTCTCAGAAGATGTGGGCAGTTGAGACCCTTGGTCGTATAGTGCCAAGGTCCCCATGAAGGAAGCACTGGCAGGTACCTGGTTTAAGAGAAGAGCTCTGTCCCACGGATGATGTGCCAGGGAGCAGGTGGCCCTTGCCATTCGGCGTGCTGATCCCAACCCCTAAATTTCTACTTAGCCAACACCCGTATCACAGGTTATGTCATGTCAAGAAATGTAGTGTTTTGTATTTGATTTTTGAAGAATGGCACAAAAATTGCATAGAGGAGACAGCCAATGGCGGGGAGTAATTGGAGCAATCTTTGCTGTACTCATGCACCATCTTCCTCTGAAATTTGAAAGCTCCACATCTCAGAGGGAGGTACAAAATTATTACAGAAAATAAAAGAGACAAGAAACTCACAACATCGTGTCACTAAGACGATGCTAATAGAAATGTTTTCCTTGGAGTCTGTTTAGAAGCTCTGAAGGAGCATTTCTCAGTGCGTGTGCGTGTGAGTGCACATGTGTGAGCGAGCGTGCAAGGGTGTGAACTTGCTCCCTTGAGCACATATGCTCTTGCAGTGTGTTCTTTGTGCGTATGCGTGTGCATGTGTGTGTGTATTAAGCTTGCTAAAATTTGTTCTAAAACATCAGGGAACCTAATAGTCAGATAAAAATTTTTCCCTCTTGGATCTGTTCACTTTAAATTTTTCCATTCAATATACTGTTCAGTTAGTGAGTTCTTAAATCAAGGTCACTTGCATGGTGGGTCCTAGAAACCTTGACAACGTCTAGACAATTTTATGATGTGAATCCTTTTGAAAGGAACAACTATTGGCTTATTGATATCAGTATTACAAAGTGTATTGATGGGGGATGTGTGTTTATTTTGAACCATGTCTACTTACATTAGTTACATGGGCCAATTATCAAATTGACAGTTACCATTTTCTTTCTCATTAGCCTCATTGCTATTGGTTTTAGAGCAAGTCTACTATGTGTGGACCAAGGAAGGCATCGGCTTCTGTGGTTAATATGGAAAGAATAAATTGTTGAAATCAAAAGCCCAAACTATTCAGTTCACAAGAAACCCCCCAAAGACCAGGAAATTGTGTTGTATGTTCATTTGGAATAAAGCAATATTTTTACCACTGCTAAGGTGAACTGAAACTTCTCCTGAAGATTTGTCTGTTTCATTTTCCCTTACTTTCATGGGGCATTCAAGGAAATTAGTGTTCACATACCCATTCTTTTTCCAGTTATTGGTGGTGTTGAGTTGTTATGTTTACACTGTTTTAAATAAAGAGGCACAGTATTTGAAAGTACATCAAAGATTTCTTTTGCTTGTAGTTTGGGGAAAAGCTTGGTGAAAATTACTTTTTTGGAGACTCACACTGTATGGAAAAGGAATGTAACTATTTCTGAATCAAGCAGTGAACTGTACAATTCTTGTTTCATGTTAACTTGTTTCTGTTAAAACATGTCACAAATTACTCTTTGTGAATATTTGTTAATTGCAGACATATGACCATCCAGAGAAAAGAAGGAATATTCCTTTGTTGTACTTTATTAGTCCATGTGCGCAGCACAAATGTTTACATTTGTTTTGGGAAGTTGCACACGTACATAACACGTCTTCATTCCCTCTTTCATCCCTTGTCCTCTCCTTCCCTTTGCCCTACACCCCTCTCTTGATCTCCTTCCTTTTTTGTTTGTATGTTTGCCACACATAATGTTTATATTCTTTGTGTGGAGTGGATACATGTACGTGACACATTCCAGTTTCTTTTTTTCATGTCTTATCCCTTTCTTACCCCGTTCATCCTACACCCCCTCTTGATCCCCTTCGCCTGTGAAGAAGAACTATCTCCCTACTTGCTCTTATCTATCTTTTCTTTACCTCTTTATTTTCACTCTGGGTTTCTCATGTAAAAGAAACCATGTGATATTTAAACTTGTGTGTCACTTAGCATTATGGTTTTAAGATGCATCTGTTTCCCTACAAGTGACTCAAGTTTATCTTTCTTTATGGCAGAGTAGTTAGTGTTTCATTATGTGTAAATAGCACATTTTTTTTATCCATCTGTTGATGGACTTATGGGCTGCTTCAAAAGTTTGGCTATTATGAATTGTTCTGAGATATGTATGGATGTGCATGTACCATTCTAGAAGGGGAGTAGTTGGGGTCCAGTGGGATTTCTAGTTTCAGTTTTTAAAATCAAAACTGAGTAATAGGAATTCAAAGTCACAAATGTTGAAGATCCTTTGGTAAAACGCATTTTAAATTTAAGAAAAGATTAAGTGATACTAGCTTTTTCATTATAGTTTTGTTATTTTGAATGTCAAGGTGTTGTTAGGCTTTTTTAAATATAAATTTTATTGTTCAGGTTATCTAAGTTCTTATCTTTACATAAACATTTTATCTTTGGAAAAATGTTGGAAAGATGCACTCAATAGATATTTTAAAAACACATAAAACAGCATCTGATATGCTATCATGTTGAAATTTATCATAATTATCAAAAACTGAAAGGCCTCTTGCAGCTGACTAAACTCCCCTACCACCCCAAATGTTACCTGTTGCTCGTCTAAAGGATCCATTCAGAATTCACCTACTTAGAAGGGGATTATTCTGTGACTCATTTTAATATATTATTTACACTGAAAAACTTAAGCTGGTCAGTGAAACTAAAGTCTTAATTAAACATCTCATTTTTGAAAATGAAATAGAACCACTGATTACAATATAATTCCTTTCTCCATACATTCTAGAGAGTGTGAGTCTCAAGCCCAGCCACTGGCAGTGTGGTAACATTAATTCCTTGAGCACTCAAGACAAAATCTACACAGGGAACACATATTAATGGTTAATTTCAGGGGTTATCTGTTTCCTCTTGGAAAATGAAGTTCCTGCACAATGTATCAAGTGCACATTTGTGGGCATCTGCTGATAAATGCTGAAGCCAACCAGACTTTCAAAGTTAACCTGACATAGAAATACCTGCAGCCATCCACACTTCACTTTTCACGATTACATACCTACTGGGAAGTGCTTATTTCTGCAAGATACCTTCAACTTTGCTTCAGTTTCCTTGCCTTTGTCATGTAAATAGATATTTGGGGATTTATACTTAAAGAGGCTGCATATTTGTTATTTACTGGAAAAGGAATCTCATCCATTATTTTTACTTTGAATCATTTTCTTATATGTTGTTTCATAAAGCACATGTTATTTTAAATTGCCAGTGACTATCGCAGAATGCTGTTCAAAGTCTGACCAATCTTATGTTAATATGAAATAGTAGATGTGAACTTGGAAAACTACCATCAATTTTTTTCTTCCTAGTTCTCTAAGTACCTTAAATATTCTGTATTTCACACTTTGGCCCAATATCTACCTTGCTATGGATTAAGGGCTAACTATTTGTAATTTTACCACATCTCTAACGATTTACATTATTTCTAAATAGCAATAGCAAGTATTTCTGGAAGAGGATAAGTGTTGCTTATAAGCTTCACAAATTACTCTGTTTTCATCATAACAACATATCATGCCTACCAAAAAGAGAAGGAAGGGCCAAGCTGACTTCAAAATACACTTTGTCTCCTGGAGTGAATGACAGGTACAGACTGAGTGGGACACTGGGCAACTGAGGCCAGGACTAGCAATGATCAGATCTCCCCAGAACATGATTGATGTATGCAGCCATTGCTCAATGTCTATCCTGCTGTATGGTGCTATAGGAAACCACAGTCCCTAAGTGTGTGTGTGTGTGTGTGTGTGTGTGTGTGTGTTTGTGTGTTTGCGGAGGGGATAATGATCCCTTTGAATCCAACCCTGTAGACCTAAGATAAGTGCTATGAAACATTTCTCAAATGAGTACATAGTATACCTAGGAACACAGCAGAGGAGGGGTGGGATTTTTATTTGATTTTTTTGGTATCTGGGAAACATTTTATATATATATATATAAAGGATACTTTTTTATTATCATTCAATTGTATAGATTGAGTGAAGTGCTTTCAATGGATAGCATGTCCACACTGTGTTTGTACTTGTGTCTTCAGGAATCCTATCCTCATCCAGGCAAGACCAGCACGAGGTTTCTGGACAATTCTCCATTTTAAAGGCCTCCCAACTCGCCCCAGGAAATGAAACCTTCTGATAAGCTTTATCTCTTTCTTCTCCATTCTTTCTTTCCCTTTTAAAGAAATACTGAGGGTAAAGGAAGAAATTCATTCCTTAAATCTACATTATTCTCTTTCAATAACCTATTTCTGACTGTGACAACACACATACACACATGCACACAATCAACATATATGTGTAATTAAATTGGAGTGGTTATTTTGGTAGCTTTATTTTTGCTTAATTTGACAAATGTCAGTGATTACCTCATGGAATGTCAATAAAATCAAAGCATTTAGTGACTAGCAGACGTGGCAGTGTTTGGATCACACAGGCATTTTCAATTCTTTCTCTTTCTTAGACAAGCAGAAATATCCTTGGGTGGGAAAAATCACAAAACCTTAAATAAATTTCTGCTAGATTCTCTCCTGGAAATGAAAATTAAATGATGGGTGTAAATGAATGCTGTCTGTATGGTGCATCATGGTCTCCAGTGTATTTTTTACAGATTTAACCAGAACTTCTCCCCAGGGTATCTGAATAGGTGTCTGATGCCTGACGTCCACTGCACTCCAGTAAGGACAGGATGGTGTGCAGCTGGAGAGAGTCCACAGTGCTAGCCTCAGGTGCCCAGTGCAAAGGATGACAGGCGAGCACATCCAATCTGGGTAAAATAGCAAGCTTCTAGGACTCCGATTTTTTTTTTGTCATGAAAGCTTGTACTGATTGCACGTGTATTGTTGCCTATGGAAGAATTATGCGATAAGAAGCAATCTCATTGTTGGAAATGAATTAGAAAATCTTTACATTGAAAAATTGTCTTTGTGAAAGCTTCTAACTTATCTATACATACAAGTTGCTCTGTCAAAGAAAGTAACTGATCTAGTTCACCTTGATTGTCCTTCCAAACTGAACACCTTGTTTTCCAGGCATTGTCATCCAGACTTTACCTGGTCAACATACTACTTAATAATTTCAATGTGACTCTTTAAGATTGACACTTCATTTCCATAGAAAAATGGATATGACTCATTCTGTGGTTATTTTTAAGGTAAATTTATCTATCTACACTGGGTAATGAAGAAGGGATGGCCACAAAAACACCCAGTTCCAAAGCTTAAAAATCAAATGTCAAAACTTTGCCTCAGATTTTTTTTCTTAATAAACTATGAACATTTATCAAAGAGAAAAAGCAAAGGGATCTCCAGAGAAGACATCAGGCCATGGACAGAATCACTGGGTTTGAAAAAATAAAGGTATTTAATGATATTCTCAATTATTTGCATCTCAAAATTTTTAATATAAGCTTTCCAACTAATAATGAATAACTTCTCTGAAGATACTTTTCCATTATGGTTACAATAACCCTTTCTTGGGGAACACAATAGAAAAAAGAATGCAAGGTTCACTTGGTTGTTATTACTGTTTTTGACAAAACAAATTATCAACATGCTCTTCTAAATCTCATCCTGACTAATGATGATTCTTCCATATATTACTTGTCTTGGTGAAAATCCTAAAGTCTGAATTCTTTCTTAGTCTTCAATAAAATAATGTGATATGTTAAAATACTTGAATCAAAGATGGTAAATTTCAGTTGTGTTGTGCTTTTAGTTATTAGGATTCTATGGAGTAGTTTGCAGAATTGAATTGGGGGAACACTCACATTTTTGTACTTGTTTTTGGTATGTATAAAGGTATGGTGAAACACAAACACAGCTGTGCTATACTTTACATTGATGTTATCCTTTTAAATATAAATTGAAGGGCTTAAATGTTACACACAATACACAGTACACGTGGTGTTCTTAAACTCAGCAACTTGGAAGATGTTGGGTTCAGTTATCTTCACAGGAAATGCGTGAAAAAAGAAAATATAGTGATTACTATCTAAGGTTTATTCTTCACAGTCTGTCTTTGAGTCCTGTCTTTATGAGTAAATGTCTGGAAAATAGATATATTGTTCAAACAAGAACAAACGGAAGAACATTAAAAACTCACATTAAAAGTCACTATACATTTTCCAGTATCTACAGTGTAT